AGCTCCGAATATTGAAAAGCTAAGCTAAGCTGCAAAAGCTAAGCTAATACCAACTATACTGTCAACAAGCGTCGGTCACCAAATTTAAGCAAATCGTAAAGAGTATCAAAAAATGTAATTTGCAAAATTCGTGCTGTGAATACTAAATATGTACCAGGATCATGCAATTAGTGAGTAAGGTGCTAAAGGAGCAGTCAAGTGGACTATAGACGTTAACTCGCATCGTCCTCGTCAGAAAGTAAATTTTTATCGGCGAGGCGCAGTTATCATATGCGTCCGACGCATATGATAAATGCAAGGCACATTAACTACCGTTTATTTGACATCATATTTGCGGGCAGACATAAATAATGGCGAGTTAACTAACATTCTGGCAGTCATGCTAACCTAGGCATTGCCAGGACCAAGACTGCGGGGTTCTTGAAAACTTTCAGCGTAGAGATTCAAGATGTTAATGAGATGGAGGTTTTGACGGAACAGCGTTTCGGCTATCGTGTTCATGAAAGAGTCAAGTATATTACAATTGCAACATCAAGTTCTGCTAGGCTATTATCAGCTTAGAACAATATGAGTGATGGTTTAAACATTTATGCCAGTAGAAGAGACAAAATCTACAGGTGGCAAGCGATCACAAGACTTTGTGTCTTTGATATATTAAGACGCTAAGCATGGAGAAGTTGCAGGTGTAGATATGTTTCGACTAATTATATATTCGCTTCTGCTTCCCAACTCGCCTACGAATGCAACTTGAACAATATCGAACAGATATCAGATAGATCTGGTCCGACTGGAAGTACTTGGACCGATGCATGGCGGATGCCTTGCAAAAATGATGCAGTTTCTGTAAATCAAACTTTTCGAACAAGTGACTTGCTCATTGTAAGAAACAGAAATCAAAAGTTTTGAACAAATCTTGTTTCCTAAATACATATATACCTTTTGCTGTCTAGCTGCTGGGAACCATCAAAATGGGCGGTCATCTTGGTTTCCCATAGCAGCCGTCAGATTGGGTCCCGCGCGATGTATCATTGGCATAACCGCCTTTGCAATTTGATCTGGCATTTTTATGTGACATGACAATCTTCTGGCGCCAAATTTTCTCGGGATGCATGCTTAATTTTACTTCTGGAAATGGGGCTCGAACATGTATCCGACAATCCATTATCCCTTCAACGCAGCTAAATTTTTCGTTTCTCATTTTTTTATTTTTCAGATTTTTTAGTCAAATTGGTAAGAAGCTCAAAACCTTGTCTTGTCTATTCGAGTCTGAAGACTTCTACCCACCTTCAAGGCGACCATCCAAAGATCCACGATCGGTAACCGCTAGCGATGCTTGAATCGGTAAATTTGAAGCACCAAATTACTGTTGCCGATAATTTATTCAGTGGTCAGGCTTAGGCAATGACCAAGATGGTCCAAGACAATTAAGGGGGTACCGAGTAAATGGACTGCATGATCAATCACTTACCGATTCTCTTCCTTTGACACACTTCTCGAATTTCTCCTCCACCTCGCACCCCAAAAGGATATGGATCCAGCGACCAGAACTTTGCGTGGGAGCTCAACGCTCGCATGAAGCTTGCGAAGAAGGGACTATTTGAGCACAACAACGTTTCGAAGGTGCCGAGTGAAGACGACGCAAGCGAATACGGTTGGGAATTTAACGATATGAAATACTTCGCGACTGTTTACACAATAATCAGTTTAGCTTTGCAGCCAATGGTTCGCACTGCAAAGGCGATGGCGCAAACATAGAAATTTCTGAAAAAAAAACTTCGTCCAAAGTAGCATTCATGTCCGAATCCGCATGCGTCGAATGATAAGATGCATGAGCTCAAGGCGCAGAAGGATGGGGAGGTAATGGACCACTTTGTCAAGTTTGATGATTTCTGCCATCGGTGAAAAAGTTTCGCACAACGAACAACTCGGGATTCTACTTGGGAGCTTGTCGGAAGAATACGATCAAATTTTCAAGATCATCGAAATACTGAAAAAAAGCTCCGTTCCTGGCCAAAATAATTCCTTGTCATGAACTCGAAAGCATTGCTTAATAAGTGAGCAACGAAATCTTTCTAAAAGAAATGCATGAGTTCAAGAACAAAGAGATTCGACCGAAGGGTAGAGGGGGGCAAATTCACGGAAATTGTCATTTCTGCCCGATTTATGAGCACCAGAAGCAAGGCTGATAAATACACCCAAAGTACAAGCGATCAAGCAGCAGACAGCAAGCATTCACGGTAACAAAAAATTGTTTGGAAGGGTGGCTCAACAGTGGTGCAAGTAGCCACATGTGTCCATTTCAAAACGACCTCACGAAATTTTGCTCGCTCGACCAATCAGTCGCCATTTCGGTTGCCAATGGTGGCAGAGTTTTGGCGGCCGAAGTCGGGACAATTTGTGGAGTTCTGAAGAGCACGACCCAGTCCGAAGTCTTTTGTTGATTTTGCCTTTATTAGCAAAAGGACTAGACATCACGCTCGGTAACGCATTGTGCGAGATCAATATTAGTCAGGAACTTGTGACTCAGGTGACCCAGAAGGGCTTGTTGATCATGCTGGAATGTGTTTCAGCGGAATAAGAACATCAGTAAAAGGCTGCTTTAAAAGCAAAGCCTATAAATCTCAGTGCGTGACATACCTGGTTGGGAGATTTGGCAATGGAGATCATGAAAATTCTCGCAGGGTATGTTTGCGGATTTAAGTCGAAGGATCCATGTGATGATGGTAATGTCGATGACGACGCCATATGTGGAGGATGTGTGACGGGCATGTTGTCACTGAAACCTTTTTCAAAGTCGGGATACGGAAACGTGAAGACCTAAAAGTGCTCCTAGTCATTCACAGCAATGTTTCAAATCTAGCGAAGACTTATAAAAAGGATGAGCGAGGTTTGTCGTGACATTTATCGGCGATTTTTCTAGGTATGTAGTGGCGCACTATATCGCCCACGAATCTGAAGTAGTGGATCGATTTATCGCGTACAAGTCGTTGATGGAAATCCAACTAAATTTTAAGATCAAGTGTTTTCGCACCGACAATGGTGATATATGTACTAACAAGCGATTTGGTGTAGTGGGCAGAAGCCTGACATCGTTTTTCAAGTTATGGCTCCTGTTTGCATCAACAAATCGGAATTGTGAACAGAACAATCGCGGAGCGTGCAAAATCGGTGATTAGCCGTATGCACATGGAGAAGGAATGGTGGGCTGAAGCAACGAATACGGCGATCTATATGATCAGCCCAGTTCCGTGAGCTACTCATTCAAAGCAGACTCCATTCAAAATAAGTTTTTGAAGGATATACGATTCATCAAATATGCTTGTTATCGGAGCTTGAGGCTGCACACACATTGACAGGGCAAAACGTGCGACATTGGACAAGAACGCATTTTGATGCATGTTCTTGTGACATACGAACTGTCAAATTCCTTCAACGTGGTAGATTGCTACAGAGATCTTTGCTTGGAAAAAAATTTGGAGGAGTATCCAAATATTCGTGGAACGGCAACTCATAATGTTGGCCTTCAAACGGTGTTGCCTAGATAGTGTAGCTCTAAGACTGTTTTATTTGTTTTTTCCTTATTTCATCATCAAAGTCTAACTTCACTAATACGCAAACAGTGGGTTTTTCGTACAATTTTCTGCACGTCGTGATAAAAGCCACTACTTTTGATCCACTCGAGGCATTAAGAATGAACTTTTCATCAAGAGCTGCTTCCGATATATCCTTTTGTTTTTTTCGATTCCCACAACGTGTGTTGCATTCTTGTACATAGGACCCGATGCTAGAAGGCCAAGCGACTGGTGAGTTTTTTTTACTTCATCAGTGGGATAGCACGCATAACCGACAGTTTTCGTGATCAAATCAAAGGCAAGGCCAAAGTGACTGAGAGGTAAGCTAGCAGAGCTGCTCCTAAAGTCGACAAAGCAAGGGCGGCGCCCTCCACAAGTATTTATCCAGGACAAACGTATATTCAGAACCCTACCTTTATCCGCCGACCAGTATGGCAACTTCGGCGAACAATTCCAGAAAAAGCAGCTCTTCCAAGACGCCACCATAGAGCCAATATCGAGTGCAACGCCCTGGACCTTCGTCGCTCTGTTTAAACTAGTTAAAGGAACAAAACCGAAGAGTCATCCGCCAGCCTGGCGCATAATGCTTGTTTAGAGTCCATCCCGCTCTAGGCCTTCGAGTCAATTCCCAATTTTGAAAAGAAATGAAGTCATTTTTGAAAAATCGAACACAGAGCCAATGCCGTACTGACATAAGGTGAAAGCTAAAAACAGCTCCTAATTGAGGGAGCTGTGTCAACAACTCCTTCGATAAACACCGTAGCTGCTGTACAAGTTGCACTCTCATCGGCATTGCTGTTTTTGTTGCGTCGCGTTCCCCCCGTTTCCACTTAGACATGTAATAAGATTCGCTAATTAATACATGATTCAGGACTACTTTACTCCCCGTAGAAGAGCTCTATGGAATCGCGGCTCTCAAGCACCAATATTCTGAACTCAATGTTTGACCCACCAAGGATACTCTCTCATGTCTTAATAACCGACTTCAATGTATCGTTAAGAAGATTCCAAGATCTCATCTTAGCATTCAAGCAAATCAAATATTTAGGGTTTTGAGCAAGCCCAAAATAACGTTGGGTGATTTGCCATTTTCGTTAGTTATTCAAGAGTGCATGTAAAAAAAGAGCTCAGGACCGTAAGCAGACCAATGGAGCTTAGTTGTAGATCCAATGTTTACGTGGTCTTGTCAAAACCGTACCATGTTCACTATTATACGCCATTCGGGTGCGAAGTGCTCTTTTGAAGGCAAGTTGACGGCTCCAAAATCTTTTGTAGAGGAGATCCTTCTGCTTCAGAGCTATATAAATTTGGTTATGAAAACTCTACCCACGAGCAAGCCGGTATTACCAATATGTTCGCATTTAATCAAGATATTGAGATCTCTGACTTGATAGAAATTTATCAGCAAAACTAGCTGTAAACAGCAGGCTAGAAATCAGTCGATTCCGCGTCACAGTGGATAATATAAAGACAAAGATGCTGACAGAAAATGAGGTATTCTAAATAAACGAGTGTTTATTTGGGCGTTACCCAAGCGTATATTTCATTAAAATCGAAGCTTCAGTGCTTCCTTGTGAGCCGCTTGCGGTTCTTTCAAACGATATCAGTAAGTGGACTCATTCCAGTCGACGAGTACACCACATTGTTGAGCGCAAACTATATCATAGGCAATGCTTGATAAATTAAAGTGGCAGCTCGGTGCATATATATCCCATTGTGCTTCTTCTTATCATTTCTGCTCGAATTGCTCGTATCATGTCTGCCAATGGTCTGCCTCGAATATCATTCTTGAATCACAGATGCTGAATGCGGAATGGTCTGAAACAACGGATCTAGCCAGACCGTGGCCTTACTGTTTGTTTCCTGAAAAGTCAGCGAATACTGTGAAACGATGCACCATTTGATATACAAGCAATCACGTGCTCCTATCTTCCTTAACATCGGGTCAAAAGTCGAAGGTAAAGTAAAGATCCATTTTGCAACGGGGGTTGATGTGCCCATACGCTCGCAGGGGGTATTGCCTTTACAAGTCCGCCTCGATAAACGCACTGACGATAAGCTCGTATGCTCCACCCAGAAGACGTCCTAGCCAAGTTAGTCATGCGATCCTTCCGCTGCACTAGAGTACGATACATTTGATCGAGAGTCGTTCCGCAAATACCTCATGCGCAGAAGATAATTAGTACCGCATACATCTGGAGCGGCAGCGGTCGGGTAAATTCGTCCCCCCAGGATATCCAAACCTTTGTACTGAGCGCAGCCAGAAGCCAAAGAGTATTAGAGTTTTTTTTACACGTTGAGGGAAGCAATATGCCCTTCTCACGCTATTGGTACAAGCTATAGTTCAGCCCTGAAAGCTTGATGAATACTGGGTCATGCAAGCGAGTGATAGGAGTGGTGCACAAAGTGATCATTTTTTTATCTTTCATATTGACATGTCATTTTTTGAGAAATGTCACATTTTGCCACTTACATCACTGGTGAGTTCACCGGTCTATTTTTCAATCCGCATGAAATTGCCAACCCTTTTATTGAACAGTGTCAATGAGAAAAAACTTTTCGATCTGATCCTCGTATGCTGTCTTGATTTTGGCGTCACATCGAGTCTTTTCGGATGTCCCGATGAGTGGTTGATACTGATATGAGCATATTGAGGGTGCCCTTTGGGCAATGCTATTGTGCAAAGAAATCAAAAGGCACCCAAAAGGCTCAAAACTGTATTGCTTTCCTTTATCAAAGCTTTAAGTTCGTTCAACTCAACAAAGCGTATCATTTAGGAGTGACGTGTTATAGCAAGATCATGTAATGGTATATACAAGCCCGCGTAAGACACATGTTGCGGCATCGTTTTCATCGGGAACTTCGTTGTATTGCTCAGTCCCTTCCAGTTAATGGTCGTATTTTGATCGGTAAAAAAAGGGGCGTGACTTTGTCTTAGAAACGGTAGACACTGAATCTTTAAGTAGGGAAAAGCAATCAACAAAATCAGTTCACCTTTCATGTATTTGACACTTGTGACCTTTGCATGATACTTCTGTCTATATTGGCTCCAAGTTATAGTATCGCGTCCTTGGCACTTGACACCTAACCTCGTTGAGAAAGTGCCCTCACAGTGGCGTTTCCGTCGAATCTGTGCAATAGAATAGCAAACCGTTATTCAACGAATATCGATGTAACCGTGCGCACAAACGCACCGACAATTTCTTGTCTAAGTTTCCAAACTCCTTGCCCCCGAGAGCCTGTAGCAGCGCTACCCACATGAGATCACCCGTGAATGTGGCGCGGATCAAACCCGTCCCTGACGACGTCACCTTCGTGACATGAGCAAGCTTTTAATTTGGTCTGCGTGACAACGCAGTAGTCAAAGCATTCGGCTCTTCTGGCTTATACTTCACCTTGAAGTTATACTCTGCGAAGAATGAGAGCCACCAGGCCATCCTCTGCGAGATGTAAGGCGACTGAGTCGCAATGCGTAATAACGCTTGATCTTTGTAGTTCACAAACGACTTTGAGCCAAGCAGATGCACATTGAACTTGACAAGCGCATACTTCATCGCAAGTAATTCCTTGTCGTGGACTGGGTAATTTCTCTCCGCAGCCTTAAGCTGGCGAGATTCGAACGCGACCACCCGATCTCGCCCCCTTGCCGTCTGCAGACAGCAATTCACAACTGATGGCGAAGTCCGAAGCGTCACAAACGACACAAAAAAACGATCGGGGTCTGGCAACACCAGTATTGGTGCATGAAGTCGGCTGTCTTTGACCCTGTCAAAAGTCTCCCGATGCTCGGTGTCCCAACACCATTTCGTTTCCTTCTTATCAAGATTCGACAATGGCCGTGCCAATTCCGCATAATTTGCGCTATACTTGTGCAAGTTGTTGGCGAGGCCAAGCCACTTGTGCAAGTCCTCGTGGTTCGTTGGAACCGGTCAGTGTACAGTGGTTTTGACCTTAGCGAAACCGCTCAAAGGCCACGCTTCCCAAAGAAGTACCCTGAAAAGGGAATTTCTTCCGCGCCAAAGATGCACTTATCGGTATTAGCATACAGCTTATTCGCGCATATGCACTTGAGCACCGCTCTTAAATGAACAATGTGGTTTTCATCGTCCCGGTTCAGTGCCTGCGTCAATAGCTCTTCTACTTCCTAACAAAGGTGGGTTCATGACTCAAAAAGAAGACGTGCGCGTAGCGCCCGTGGTATTTGACCTCCAATCAATCCATGACTCATGATTTTCCAACTACGCCATGCCAAGGATAAGGTCTTTTTTTGCATTCAAGTCTAAGGCTAGGCAGCTTTTCACGCTATCAAAGCCAAGAAACTTGACATTGAGGTCCACAGGGCCCTCGGTTTAGCGACACAAGTCCCCGACGCCTCGAAATCGATAAGGATTTTCCATGGCTTATCAAAACCCTTCACGATCACTTTTACGACAAGTAAGCCCGGCTTGCGCACGCGTTCCGTGTTCAAGAGCTCGGAGCACTTCAGAGCCGGGCCCTACTGCTCTCTACCTCATTGAAGCACAAAAGAACTCAGTTCTTCCCAAGTAGGTCGCCCGCGTCTACTGGGTGTTCTCGTTTTCCCGCGACAAACCAGACTGGTAAGAAGCATCGCGTCGATCTGGCGAACCTTTATGTGGCTTTCGCGGGGGAAAACCAGTCTGAGGGTGACGGGTGTTTCCACACACAAAACATCGTCGTGTGTTGTACGCTGCTCGGTAGCTCGGAGCTATTCCTTCTCTTTCTCAGCATAGCTTAGATCCATTGGCTCAGGCCCGCTCGACGAGCTCTGAGGGTATGCATTCCAACCAAGCCGTGCCAACTTAAAATTGAATTTAGCGATCAATGCCACATTCGCCGCTTCAATAAGAGATGGATGCACACGAAAGACTTTTATTCTGGCCACGCCAGTGCGGAGGCCCTCCATAACAACGGTCACTGCGACCGTCTCGGGACGATGATTGGCTGCCATCCCGGCAATGAGAGCTCTCAACA